CGTGCTCTATGCGCCCTGCCGCCCTGCATACAGCCGCGTCTAAGGGTCCCGCTGCGTAGAACGCACTTGCGAGATTGGTCAGGATAGACGGGCATTTTTAACGACGAGTGATCTCATAAACACCTTGATGCGAAAACAGACATGGTTCAATACAAAGCAAATCTGTTGTTATTCAGCAGATGAGAGATATTTAAAACAAGTCTCTCGGTACGACCGGCCTGTGGCTGGCCTTTTGTGACCCCTCCCTAAACGCCGCCCTGATGCAAATGGATGCCTTGAAGGACTCTCTCCAAGAATGTTCTCTATACGTAGCAAGACCCCCCCTTGTAGACCGGCAAAAAAAGAAAAGACAAAAAGACGGTGGCTTTACCACGCTTCCAGAAATGGTAAGGAAAACCAAGGGTATCTCGTCGTGAATGGCAAGCTCCTCCTCCAACTGTACATGGGACTGGGCTGTCTTAGTCGTGCTTGTGACCATTGCCGTTGGTGTGGCTGTGGTCGTCGGCCTCCTCGCTAGCCTCTCGGTTGGCTTCTCCAGGGATGAACTCGTCGAACGGGCGCGCAACGTCGGCCTCCTTCGGGACGAAGCGCACCTTGATCCTTCGCACACCACGGACCTTGGCACCGACCAGTGTTCGGACCTGATCCTCCACTTCTCGGACAGCCTCAACAGACCAAGCTCCGGGCACAGCCAAGTCGATATCCACCAGGTAGTTCTGACCGGACTTGACACCCGAGACGTTGCGAACATCGACTTCGTGGCCATTGGTGACATCAGAAAGGCTTCGGAGGGCGTATTTTTGGACATCTCCCTTGACTTCGTCATCAATAGCGCGGTCGGCCAATTCGTACACGGAAGACAGAGTGTTCTCAGCACCAGCCTTGATGACGAGGAGAGAAATCATCAGGCCACCAACGGGATCCAGCCAGGTCGCATCCTTGAAAAAGTTTGCACCGAGAATAGCAAGTAGTGTGACAATGCCGGTCCAGCTGTCGACACGGTGGTGAACGGCATTGGAGGCGAGGACGGAGGACTTTCGTTCGACGGCGACTTTCATGGCTGTTTTTCTCCTTGTCAGCATTGTTCCTTGCAGCTACTCGGGCCTGAAAGGATTTGGGGGGGGGGGGGGTTGCGCTTACTAGCTCTGTACAGCCATTCCTTGATTGCGATTGTTCCGAGAGCCAACCAAGCCGCGTGCAAACTCGGTGTAGCGTGACCATGACCATGGCTGTGACCGTGATGAGCGTGGGCAATGGCCTCTGCAGCAGAAGCAGGGTCGAGGAAGAGGTGAGCATGGAGGGTGATCAAGCTGCTCCAGCACATGAACAGACCACCGCCCAGAAGCATGCTGGAGACACCCAGAGATCCCAGACTCTCAATCTTGCCGAAACCAGTGGGGAATGCTTCGGTCGGGGGTTTCAAGCTCCACGAAACAGTGGCCAGTGTCAGGACGTCGGATGCCAGGTCGGTCAGACTGTGCCAGGCATCAGCAATCATGGCTTGGGAGCCGAATGCGTAGCCACCGGCGCCCTTTGCAAAGGCCATGCCGAGGTTGGAGTAGAGACCGATGCGAGTGATGCGCACGCCGGCGTCATTCTTGTTGGCCGAGGTCAGGTAGACATTGTCGTGGCCGTGGTGGTGATGGTGGTGATGGCCGTGGCTCTTGCGAGACTGAGGCGGGTTGGCGGTCATGGTGGCAGTGGTGGTGGCAGACATGATGACAGTTGCTGGTAATGAAGGGGATGAGTTCTTCGCAGCCGTCAAGGTGTTTGTGAGGTGAGGGAGGGAAGAAGTAGAAGAGGTCAGGTGGAGGCGGGCGGCGCTGGGGGTTAAGTAGGGATCGCAGGGAGAGGCGGCCGGGCTGGATGTTTGATAGACGCGGAGGGAGACGCGGCGCAGAGCTGGATGTGGTTGAGGTGGCCTAAAGGGGTAGGCAGAATTGAGGCAGCGGAGGAGGGTGTGCGTTCCCGTTCCCGTTCTTGGAGACGTCACCCACGCACTCCCACTCGCAGCGGAAAGGCGGCGGAGCAGTGCCGTGGGACGCTTGGACGGGGTCGACATGCCTGGGGCCGGGTTGAGGAGTACCTTAAGGTAAGGTAAGGTAAGATCCAATACCAATATGTCCTCGGCTGTGTTTGTGTGTAAGGTATGCGTGCGTATGTGTATGGATAGTGTGTGTACTCCGTAGGCGTGGCTACGGATAGGTGTCTCGCGCCTTCTCTTTCGCTGCAGTCTCTCTCTCTCACTCTCCAAGCAGCAGGGTCAAGGTAAATTGATGTGGAAGGGGTGAGGGGACGAATAACGGGTTGGCTAATTGCAAGCAGGCCAGGGACGCGTACATGACAAGCCCAGCCCGAAAAGCCGCGACACACCAAACTGAACCACAACCGTACCGTGCGGTAAGTAAGGTAAGGTACGAATACTTCGCAGGTAGATCGGCAGACGGAAGGTGGACGGAGGAGAGGAGGGGTGGGTGTGTCGGGTGGTCCAGGTGGAAAGGGCCCCAAGGGAGGGATGGGAGGAAGGGAAAGGGTTACGGGAACGAATTGGGGGCTGGCTTGGGGTGCAGCCGACGTAAGAAACGGGGGGTGAGAGTTAATTCGAATCTGGAGACTGGCTGGGACTGTATCCGTAGTCTGTACCCAAAACGCAGTGGAAAGCAAAGCAAGCACAAAGTGCCCAAAAAGGTGTGCGCGCGCGTGCGGTTGTGAGTGTGTGCGTGTGTGTGTATGTACGGAGTATTGTGCGAGACTGTGTCAAGTGTGTGTCTCCAGCAAAAAGAAAAGAAAGGCAACGCGGCAATTCGGTGCAAGGAAGACAAAACTTTCCCAACTGACAAGGCGAGGGTTCCGGCAGCGGCGGTAGCGGTAAGGTAGCGTAGCGTAGCGGCAAGGCGGGTTGGTTGATCTGATCTGCTGCAACTTGCGGCTAAGACCTCTCTCTACCTACGTACTAGGTAGTATGTACCTACCTTAGACTCTACGCAGTAGAGGGACCTTTGGTAGCAGACAGAGTGCGAGTACGGATACTTACCCAGATACAAACTACCTACAAGACGTCAAGTATTCTCACTGCAATTCTTGCAGAGGCAGTACTCTGCGTAGTCGCTGAGGCTCGGCTGGTTTGCTGATGTAAAGGGTACCCCTACAATGTGCCCCACGACCAACCGACCCGAGCTAAAAGGTGGTGCCTGACGGGCATGGGATGGGATGGGTGACGGGATGGATGGGATGGGACGGCGGGCATGTCATGGGAGAGACTGAGCAGTGAAGTGGGATGGAAAATCACCACCAATGGTCATTCCCCACAAGGCGAGAGTCGAGTGAATTGGCTCCATCTGATTGACGGATGCAACTTGAACGCCAAGAGAAGGGGAGCCCATGATACCCATCCATGAACTCAATGGGCTCCGAAGCTACCTACGTACCCCCAGTCCTTCCGTGGGTGGCAGCAAATTTCTTCGAAACTGGCTTGTTCGGTCTCGTCGCACCTGTGGACAGTGGCACTGGCACATACAGTGGGGTGTCAAAAGTCTCAATACACCTCCCAGTGCGTCACGTTAAGTCCACTAAGTCAACCCCTATCTATATTATGATATCTCTAGCAATTAGGTACCAACATAGCTCGAAAAAAATCTTAAAAATAATTAACTATATATATTATATATAAATAATTATTATATAGTTTTAGTATATTATTTAAGTACGTAAGATAAAAAATAAACTATAGAGATATTAAGAAAATGAAAATTACTAAGAAACACAGTGCATTTAGCACTTATTAAGCACTATAACCCACTATAATAAAAACTCCTCTTAACGTATTTTAAAAAGATTTAATAACTTAATAAGTTCAATTATAAACAACGTATAACTTATACATATTAGTATTATATAGTAAAATAGTAATTTCCTGTTTTTGTTTTATATTTTAGTGTTATATTCATGCTTGAAAGTGCTGTTGAAAATCACCTACTTAGGCGTATACTGTGCACTGTATTGGCACTTTTGACACCCCACTGTACGTACGAAGTACGGCGCCGCCGGGAATTGCTATGGGGAAGAAGCTTGAATTCTCTTCTTCTCTTTTTTTAACCTTGCGCTACGGCAACTTTACTTTTTGATACAGTGCCAAAATGCTTAGTATATTTTTACCTTGTCAATACTGCGTACACCGAGGATTCGTACACGTTATGCTTCTCCATGCATTACCCGCTTTAGAGCAAGGTACCCACCTTACTTCGTACTTGAAGAAAGCCACGACATGCGTCAGCCACGCCCACCCACAACCAAAACCCTTCTAGACTACGTTATGGAACCCGGGACTGCAGAATAGCCTCTCTCACTACGGGTGGTTTTCCTCTTATGAATCGTAACGTATCCAGTATATCCCATCGGCTTGTGTCCGTATCCATAACGCAGTACGGAGTACCTAGGTTCATTCAACGTGTCGACGCATGCCCATCTGTCCTGCCTACCAAACAACGACGGACATGGTCCGCTGCAACCACCACGGTAGAAACCCAGATATGACTGTCGGACTGTCTCTCTCCAGAAGGTAACTTCGTCCTCGAGCTGCAAGCCCGGAGGTGTGGTTGAGCAGACATGTCATTGGGCGAAAAGGCCACGCAAGATGCCCCTGAGAATCTTATTCAAATACCAACCCGAAAGAATCAAGCGTAAATCCTCTTTGCCTCTTTACAGATAGTCTGTACAGATGCTCCGCACGACTGTGAATTCATCTCTCTCTAATCTGACGCAGGGCCGTCACTTGTCGCAGACATCTGATGTGGCCCGTGTCAAGGCAAAACCTCTACACTACACAGTAAAAGACCCATGTTACCTAAGCGGATGCCTTTACCAAGTCAAGCCACACTGGGCTTGGTCATCTTGTGGGGTTCAGTGGATTCGCAGTCCCGGCTGGCATGCTGGTTCCCCCCCGAATCATGACGAATTGACCACTGATAATCAGATCGCCCCCTTCAACTCAACCATGCGGCTTGAAATTCGAGCCTGTCGCAACGTTTCCATTAACACGCGCTTGTCAGAAATCTCCTTCCGTCCCTTGATCACTTCTATTCTTAAATTCAACGCCAGGGTGAACATGTCCACATAACCACTTCCTCCCACCCCCTTTCCCATCCACTCTCCTCCCTCTTTCTGCTGAGCCTCCGCCGCGTCCACGTACATCCCCCGGAGCTACCTTCCCCCCTTGACTGAGACTCTCAAGCGGCTCCGGAATTCCCTCCCACATCCCGAATAGGCCTTACGCAACCTCAACCACAACAACGCAACATCATCGCCCCAATGCGCAAACCTCTTATGCGCATTCCCTACACGGAACTCTTGGCCCCTCCCACAGTCCGTCCAAGCACCGCAAATACCATCCCCGGTGCTGTCGCGGCCCTCCAGAACTTCTTCACGGCCCCGCCTCCAAAGGGCCTGCCGAGGTCGACCGTCGTACTGACTGGGGCGGGCCTATCCGTCTCCAGCGGTCTCGCCGACTACCGAGGCGTCAATGGCACGTATCGCGTGAACAAGACCTACCGCCCAATCTACTACCACGAGTTCCTCGCCAACCACGAGGCGAGGAAACGGTACTGGGCCAGGAGTTTCTTGGGTTGGACGTCGCTTCACAAGGCGTCGCCAAATCATGGTCACTATGCCATCCGAGATTTGGGCCACATGGGCCTGATTCGGAGCGTCATCACGCAAAACGTTGATTCATTTCACTCAACAGCTCATCCTGACATTCCAACATTAGAGCTGCACGGCTATCTACGATCCACAGTCTGTGTAACTTGCAGGAACGAGTACCCCAGAGACGCCTTCCAGGATGAGCTTGCGAGGCTCAACCCGGCCTGGGCAGCCTTCCTCGTCGAAGCGTTAGCTTCCGGGGCGCTCGACACGGAGAATCCTGCCGAGCGCAAGGCCAAGGGCATCAAGTCCAACCCCGACGGCGACGTGGATCTGCCAGGCGCGCCATACACCACCTTTAGATACCCGGCCTGCCCGCACTGTCTCGCGAAGCCGCCGTCCACGCCTGAGGGGACCAAGCACGTTGTCGAAGTCGACCACGATGGTGCGTGGAAATCCACCAGTTCCGGGGGCATATTGAAGCCCGCCGTAGTCATGTTTGGTGAGAGCATTCCGAGCGACGTCAAGACGGCGGCCGAAGAGGCCATTGACGGGGCCGGAAAGCTTCTCATCTTGGGGACTTCACTTGCCACGTACTCTGCCTGGCGGCTGGCCAAGATGGCGCTGGACCGCGGCATGCCCATTGCGGTGGTGAACACCGGAGGCGTACGGGGCGAGGACCAGATCTCCGCCGTGGAAGACCCGGACCCCACGGGTGTTCGGGGAGTGCGGACAGAAGTGTCCACCGATGTCGTGCTTCCCGCGCTGGTAGAGCAGCTACGCCAGCTGCAAAGGACCGCCTCGGGTCCGGTTGGGACCGTAGGAGCGCCCGAAGAGAACCATGGCGTGTTCAAAGATATGTTGTCATAGACCACCACGATTTGTACCAATCCAAAGCGTTGCCATTTGCATAACTAAAAAAAGCTCGACATGCCCCGCGCCGGTGGCCTTGCGGCTTCGGGCACTGCCGCTGTCGGTTGTGCTTCGGCCTTGCTACTCGCCGCCGCCGTTGTTGTGGCCTCCGCCTGCCGTGCCTTTTCCTGCTTCTTTTGTCGCGACACATCTTCTCGCTCAATCTCTCTTAGCACTAAGTAAAAACTTGTGGTCAGCATCGTCAACGCGATTTCAGCGCTTGTGAATTGTAGAACATACTCTCCTCCCAGTCCAACTCCTTCTGAGCGTCGCCCGTACCCAGCGCCTTCTCCACGTCAACCGTCTCGCCCCTCTGTAGCTTCTCAACCACCTCCCGCAAGACGCCGATGCGGACATCTGCCTGTCGAGAGAACGCCTCGAACGCCTGCTTCGTCGACAGCATGTTGATGGACATGGAACCGATCAGGAGGAAGATGACAATGTAGAACGTGGCCGGGTTCCATTCCTTCTTTCTCTTCGGCTTGACTCGCTTGATCATGGGATCGTCGGTAAGTTTCTCTTCGGACCTGAAAGGTTTGGGGATGAGGCCCTTCCAGAAATCGAGTTGCGCTACCGTAGGAAGGGAGCTTGAGTGTCGCGACTGGAGGTAGAAGGAGCGATTCGCAGCTTGCGCCATGGCCACGGCGCGGAGGCCTGAAGGTGCTGCGAACAGCCTATGTGTCGCAACTCGAGACATTATGGGCGGGAGGAAAGAGTCAACCTCTGTAAGAACACACACACGTCGTCTTCGCTGTGCTGCCGTGTTCGAAATGGATGTTCTTCTGGAAGGAGTCAAAAAAGCTTCGAGAGCGCTCCTTTCGCGGTTCTCAAACTCCGGATGGCCCGTGCATCGATGGTCCCTGCTGCACGGACCGAACCGGGATTGCGGTTGCTCCGGGCAACGCTCCGGGCAACGCTCCGGGGCATTGTTTAGCGAGACCTGACAACTGCCAACTGCAGGCCTTTGTGGACTAGCATGAAGTCACACATCAAACTACCTTTACCTACAAACGGCCATTTGCCCATGTTTGGATCAGGAAACAATTCCTATTTCCTCTTCACGAATAATAAGACTTCATGACGAAACGCCTCTTATGACCCGGATACATACAACCTAATGACTACGTTACAAAGCAAAGTCGACGCTGTTAAGGCGGCGGCTGGGTCGACTGCAACATGCACATCAACAACCACAGTGCTCCTCAAAGAACTTCTCGCAACTGAGGCCGAGGCGCAATCGACAGCGCAGAAGAAGAAAGTGGCGACGACGACACGAGGGAAGACCATTGGCACAGCACGGGGGGCCGCGACTGCGAGCAAAAAGGAGGAACTGACACCAAAGGAGAAGGCCGCGCTGGCGGCGCACATAATCAATGTCGCCCTCAAATCACTCACCGAGGCATCCAAGCCTGCGCCCCCCGCCCAACCTTCGACCCCGTGCCGACGACAAAATTCAGGCGATGACCTACGAAAGCCTCAGAATAAACGGCCCCTGAGGCGGTCCAACTCCATGCCCATGACCCCGATGCAGCCACGTTCACTCAACAGAACTTCGACGTCACCCACAACAACACCGAAGCCCACGAAAAGCACGACAACGACGATTCCCACAGTCACTTGCCTTGCGACGGTAGAGTGCCTCCGAGCTGCGTTTGCGTGCTTGAGATCCCTCCATACCTCTGGCGCAGTGCAGCTGCCCGACCTGCAACTCGAGAGCGGGATATCTTCCTTTGTTGGCAAGCTCGTCGGACTAGACCTCCAGGAGCATGCGCTGCGGGAGTTGACGCTTTTGAGGCAAAGAATCGACGCAATGGCTCCTTCAGCAAAACCAAAGACGAAAGCAGCTAGAACAACAGCGGCAAGCACCAAAGTCAGAGGTCTCGCAGAAATCTTGGACTTTGGTGATGCCAAGTTCTCCGGCCCGACCCTTGGCCTGGTAATCACGACTCAGACGCAGATCCTGCGCTTAATGTCTGCGAATAAGAAACCAGCAACGATCGAAGCAGCATTGCCATACTTGGTCCCTACCCATCCGACTTCACCGATCAACCTCCTCCTAGAATCAGCCAAGGAGTCCGCCTCAGCGAAGACGAAGGCTGCGCGACAACTCGATCTCCTTTCACAACTTCTCCTCTCTCTAGCCCCGAGCTTGGCAAGCAAAGACGATGACGTTGCCGTGGACTGCCGTCTGAGTTGCGCCCCGGCTACTGCGCTGGAATTACAAACCCTGGGATTGGAGGCGCGTCTGCATTGGTGGCACATGGCTGGCCACAAGGCAGATGTGGACAAAGACATCATTTCACCACTTTCCCGGTGCATCACCTCGTACATTCGCAGAGTCAAGTCTGACTCAGCCGGGGCATATCGCAAGTCTCTCAACGCTTTCGATCGCATCATCACCATGGTCAAGAGTCAGCGCCTGGAGCCGATAGTCGCTTCGAAATCACCACTCGTTGTGATTTATCAAGCTCTGGGAACGGTGGCCCAGACTGCTCGCCATTTCACGGAAGCCGCCGAATGGATTTCGAAAATCAAGGCGACTCTGGACCCAGCCAGCGATTCCCCCGCAAAGCGCTGCGCGGTTGCCGCACAGCTTGTAGCTGTATACGGGAAACAGACACCTTTACCTCTGGAGTCGCTGTCTACGTACTTGAAGGAAGTTTACGACGCCCTCCAAGGGACGCTGAAGGGTGACGTCACAGAACTCGAGGAGCTCATGGTCAATCTATCAGCTGCTCGTAGGTCGGCAGTAGGAATTTTGGCTGGCAAACTTACGGATAAGTCTCAAAAATTAGACGAACTTCTCAACGACCTCGTCCTCCAATTTCCTCGATTTGCCCTTCGATGGTTGGGGAAGCAGCCGACGAAAGACGCTTCCCCAAAAGATCACGTACGCTACGAGTCGAGGAAACAGTTATTACTTACTTCGATAACACAAATCCTGGACTCGGCCCTGATGATCGCCAAATCTCAACTTGACGACAACAAAATGACCTGGACAGTGCTTGACGGCCTACTTCAAGAGTGCCTCATTCTCTTGGACATGATAGGCGACGCAAGTATCGCACTCTCGAAGGCAGACGCCTCAAGCCTCTACCACGTCAAACTCTCGCACCTCTACTTCATGTTCTTCAACTGGTATCGTCGCAACGCCGAGTCTAAACCCGGAGATAAGACTCCTCTTCGAGCTCTGAGACGATCTGTAGACTGTGTCAAGGATCGTTCCTCTGAGGAGAAGGAGAAGGCGCAGACAACAGCGAAACTCGAGTACTTTGCGGACCTCTGTAAGCAGGCTGGTCGAGTCAACGATGCTCGCGACGCACTGAAGCTCATTTGCACGAACATGGTTGAAGATGGAGTTTTGTCCACGGTGGCTGCATCTTTGGCTGAGAGTTCACCTGCAGTGGCTTGGAGCGCCAGCGTCAAGGCCGAGACATTGTCAAGGACAATAGGTACAATGGTCAAGCTCGATCAATCCTGGAATGATTGGACTTTCTTCCTTGCGGATGTTGAGCGGGCTGCGGTCCTGGAGCGCATCATTCAACTCATCCTCTTCAACTCGTCTAGCGACCCCAAGCCTGACGACATCAAGGACCCGGTTACCGAGGCTCTTTTGAGAATCTATGCGCCCGATCGCTTTCCCGTCCGCCGCCTTCGGACGTTGCTGCAGCTACTCACCATGTCAATCGGCGACAAAGGTGAATTTCAGAGCCTTCGAGAGCAGGCAGAGGCTGCTTTGCAGCTCTGTCGTGACCAGAACTTTGGCGATGACGCTAGCCTAGCTGAGTACGTCTCCGATCTCGAGGCCGGTCTCTCGTCTACACTGGCTCTCGTCGCAACAGAGGCAGAGTGGCGCACAGCCGACTTCGAAGAGTCAACGAGTATCTGGCGTTCGATTGTCAACCAGTGCCAGACCAAGGATGACCTCCTATCCAAGGTTAGCGACACTGAGGGACTCATCAGGCAGCTCAATTCCATTGCCGAGTACGCAAGACTCAGGGGCGAGGACGAATTCTTATTATCTGTTTTGACATTATGTGCCGACATCGCGTCCAAGCTCTCCGATTCCTCCACGGACTTGCTTCTCCAGGCGCAAAGTAACCTCGCGGATCAATACACACATCTTGGTTACTCCGAAAAGGCCGAAGAGATCCTCAATAAAGCCAAGAAACTCGCAGAGGCCACAGCTACCAATCCCGACCTTGGTGCCGTAAACCTTCAGATCTCCCTCTCTGAGTATCAGCTGGCAAACCAGAACTCTGACGCGGCGTAAGTCATATCTCCTAAAGAATTGAGGGCATTCGGCTAACAATAGGTAGCCACAAGATGCTGCTGCAGGGCGAGATCAGCTTTGAAAACTCTTCCAGTGTGAGGAAGGCTCCTAGGCTCCAAAGAAAGTTGCTTTTGGCCAGAGCTGCCAGTCTTTCTTCCCGAATCAACTGGGACAAGGGTGAATATCAACATGCTTTGTTCCACGCCAAGACGAGCGTGCGAATCTTGTTCCAGGACTGGACAAAACTAGAGGCTCGCTGGAAAGATGCGCCCAAGGCAGAGTCCAAGCAGACCTCTAGAGAAGGTTCTCCTGATGCGGAGGAAAGCCTTGTATCGACTGGCATTTCGACAAATCTGATCGAGCTATCCGACGGTCCTGACAGCTGGGCACTTGCTTGTGGTCTTCTGAGAGCCATGCTGCACCTTTCTTCCGTATACGCTCACTTGGGAATGTTTCAAGAGACTGTCTATTATGCCGAAAAGGCGCACCAGGTTGCCAACGCCACAAACGCCTCCATCTACAGAGCTCAGGCTGCTAGTTGGATCGGTTCGGTATGGCTGAAGGCCTGCAAACTCGATAAGAGCCTTGGCTACTTGAATGAAGCAAGGCAGCTCATGGCCACGGCTGTTAAGCCGACACGTCAAGCGTTCCAGCTGGCTTGCGAGCTCAGTGCTTCGTTTGGAGAGATGAAGGACCATGAGAACGAGAATCTACTCCTTGAGCTTGCCGAGGTCACGCTTGGCACCCTTAACAACAGCAACCGAGGCGCAATCACTGGCGTCAACGATGAGCAGGTGGTCAGTAAGATGGCAAAGCTCACGCTCAAGGCACCGGCTGCGCGCAGAACACGAGTGACTAAGCCAGCGGTCCCAGCAACCACGAGAGCGACCAGAGTTACGAAAAGAGTGGCAGCGCCCAAGACAAAAGCTGCTGCTGCTGCTGCTCCAAAGGCCGCTATCGTTGCAGCAAACGATAGCGCATCCGACCTCAAAGCCTCCATGCTGTTGTACAAAGCACTTGTCCACCTTAGTAAGGGTGACTGGGCTGCAGCAGCAGAACTTCTCGAGGAGGCGAAGCAGATGTCTAGCAGCTTGCGAGAGTCTTTGCGAGTCCAGATTGGTGAGGCTACTTGTTTGATTGAACAGGGTATCAAGCAGATGGAGGGCGATTCGGTCTTCTCGGTTGTGAAGGAATCAACCATCTCTTACCCGTCCATCCACGCCGCAACCGACAAAAATAACACGGAAAAGACGCAACCGACGGCATCCTCTCCGCGAAAGGCGCAAGGCCGTGCTACCTCTGCCGAGCGTAAGGTGATGAGAGAAAACGCAACCTTTGTCGAAACTTTGGAACAAGCGCAAGCTCAGCTCATGGAAGCTCAAGCTGCCGCTGCTATTTCAGGAAACGGACACCTGGTTCATCGCATCTCTGCGTTGCTTCAGAGCACGGGCATTTTCCTATCGGCAGCCTCTCATCAGACGCCCAAACACATGGGAGGCTTTGGATATGCCGCCTGCTCCGTCGAGTTTGCACGAAATCTGACTTGGAAACGGGAGCGAAACACCGTGGCCACGGATCACCTCAATGCCAGCTTCAGCGAGGCGGGCTGGCCACTTCCTCTCACGTTGAAGGATGATAGACGGGCAAGCATTGTTACTGTTGACGATATGGCGAAATTCCAGCGTGACTACATCGACATCATTCCTGAAGCGTGGAGTGTCCTGTCGATCGCGCTAAGCGACAACCGCAAGGATTTGTGCATCACCAAGTTACAGTCAGGCCAGAGCCCTTTCGTCTTGCGACTACCGCTCGAGCGTGTGGCTTCTCGCGACGGCGAGGACGAGCTTTTCGACTTCCAGCATGGATACGACGAGCTTATGGATATTATCCAGGCGACTAACGCGAGTTGCCACAACACTGGTGACTACACTGCAAAGGGGGCCAAATCAGCATGGTGGGCTCAGCGCGAGAATCTGGACAACAGATTCAAGGATCTCCTCGACAATGTCGAGCAGGTCTGGCTGGGTGGGTTCAAGGGCATCTTCTCCCAACATCGTCATCGCGCCGACCTCATCGCCAAGTTCCAAAAGGCCTTTTCCAAGATTCTTGACAAGCATCTGCCCTCGCGCAGGCAGGTCCGAGGAAAAAAGACTAGCAAGTCCCCCAAGATTACCTTGGAGCCGCGTATCCTCGATCTTTTCGTTGGCTTGGGAGACCCGTCTATGCCGGACAGCGATCTTGAGGAGCCTCTGAACGATCTTCTCTACTTTGTCGTGGATATTCTTCAGTTCCACGGCGAGAGAAATGCCTACGATGAGATTGACTTTGACTCCATGGTCTTGGATACGTTTGATGCTCTTCAGGCGTACCATAACGCTGCCAAGACTTCGGAGCCCGAGGAAGGCGCCCACAGCATTCTCATCCTCGACAAGGCTCTCCATGCCTTCCCTTGGGAATCACTCCCATGCACGGAGGGTCTGGCGTATTCTCGCGTTCCCTCATTGTCCTGTCTGCGTCGACTACTTCTAGAGCAGCGCGAGGCCCGAGATCCTGATGATGAAAAGGTCCACCACCGACACACGGTATCACCTGTCGGTGGCACGTACATTCTGAACCCCGGCTCTGATCTCAAGAACACTCTCGCCACTTTCGAAAAGCCCCTCAAGGAGAAGTTGGGCGAGTCCTGGACAGGCATCGTCTCGCGTACACCGACCGAGGACGAGTTCGAGGGAGCGCTCAAGAAGTCTGACATACTCCTCTACTTTGGTCACGGCAGCGGCGCGCAGTACATTCGAGGCAAGACAATCCGAAGACTGGAGAAGTGCAAGGCTGCGGCGCTGTTGATGGGGTGTAGCTCGGCGTCCCTGCAGAACGTCGGCGAGTACGAGTGCCACGGTCCAGTATGGAACTACATGCTCGCCGGGTGTCCCGCCGTTGTGGGCACTTTGTGGGACGTGACGGATAGGGACATTGACCGGTATGCGGGCCGGTTGTTCGAAGAATGGGGACTGATGGAAAGGGGCACGTTTGTTGAGGACAGCTCGAAGAAGAAGGGCAAGGGCAAGGGGCTTTTTGCTACGGAGAAGAAGACCAAGGCGAAGAAGGAGACGACAAAGGCTACCGGGCGTGGGAACGCGTCGCTCGTGGAGGCTGTCGCCAGAGCTAGGGACGCCTGTCGGTTTAGGTACATCACGGCTGGCGCGGTATGTGTATACGGTATTCCGGTGTATATTGGCAAGGACAAGGCCGAGGGTGCTTGATGGGGGAGGTTTGTTGCTTGACTGCGTCACTTTGGGGAAAGTCTGGTGTCTGGTGTTTGTCGTATTCCAGGTTTGGGGAGAAGAACCGGAGCATTAGATTAGCATTGCATTGGAACGTGGAGTTTTTGGAGATTTCAACGTTGCTGTTGTCGTCGTCTACTTGGACGGGTTTTCCGGGAGGCAGGCATCCGGGGGGTAAGGAGGTATTGTGACTGGTCCCTCCCGCCGTAACTATAGTGTCTTATGATAATGAAATGAGGAAGGTTGTGGATGTGAGCAGAGTTTTTTCTTCTCCGATTCCTTTCTCCGTGTGATGTTGCGTGCGGGAGGAGGTACGGGAAGGGGGCTTATTGATGCTGGTGGATCTCATCTATCTACGCGTCTGTCTGTCTGTGTGTATGGTAGGTGATCGAGGGGGAGGTATGAGGGAGAGTATGTTGGTGAAGCTTCATCCTTGGAGATGAAGGGGTGTGTGTATGGGTAGGATGTCATGGGAGGTGAGGCTTTGGGCGAGGAGGAAAGGGGGGGAACATGGTGGGTGTTGTTTTTGGGGGGGGTCTTGATCTATACCGTCACTCGCGACATTGGACCTCGTCTGGTTATTGCCACCGTGTCGTCTTTGGGTCTTGTTTCTTGCGATTGTGGTGAAGAGAGTAAGTATTCCTTGAGTGATATTAGGGGGGGGAGGGGGGGGAGGGAAGGATGCATCCTGAACTTGGCCGTGGTATACGACGGGTTTCCCTGGGAGATTGGGGTATGTGTTGTGATGTTGATGCTGATGTTGACGTTCGATTGCTTGGATGGACACGGGTAGGGAGACGAGAATAGGTCCGAATCGAAATGCCCGACTTATGCTTCTGTATCTTTTACACCCTTCTTCTTCTCTTTCTCCCGTATCTCTTTACCGTTGTTCTTTGGTATCGATCCCCGAAATGTCTCCGGGGGGGAGGGGGGGAGGGCACATGGAGATGGTCTCATGAAACCTCCATGATGCGGGAAAAGGGGAGGCGAGGGTTGGAAGGGAATGGATGGTGCTCTTCCCGTGTTGAGTAGTGCTATTGAGCATCTCATGTCTTGATTTCATTCACGGTCCGGGATGAATGAGCTTCTCACAGCCTCTTGACTACGTTCCCGGGGAAAGGAAGGGAGGTGAAGTGTGAGATGGAGCGAGTTTTGTTTACTATTCTCGTCCGCCTTTTGGATGGACTAGCGAACCAGATCCCCGGGCAGCTGCTAGACGGCTTCGATACCAGCAAGCATGATATCAACAAACACAGACGTAGCCCATCCCGAAGGAGCACCGAACGAAGCTCACATCCCTTTCGCCTTTGGCTGAACACATATCACATCAGGGTTAGTAGGCGAGGTTTCGATAGGAAGCAGGGACTAATGAGTGTCGAATATCTATAGCATCGTCTATTACAAGGCCCCTTACGCAAGAGATAGGATCGTGAAGGGTGCAAGGCACGCGCGTGTATCAAGCATTCGTATCTCACTATAGACTACGCTCCACGATTGGATACCTCCTTTCTCCCTTTCGTCTCACAGAAGTGTGTTGCGTCCCAGGAGCCTGGATCGGGAAGACGGGATGACCGAACGGAGTTTTTTCTTTCTTTCTATTCTTAAAACTCTACCTTAGATCCCGCGATGGGATACCCAGATCTTGGGATCCGTGGTGGTGTGTAACTATGTTTTACAACGTCATGGACCAATATCCTTTTCATCGGTGAAGTTGGATGCTGAGAGGAGGCTATGCTACACTCCCCTCCCCTCCTCAACCTCACGAGACGGAACGACCGATGTTCCCGCTTCTATTCCTGACTTACTTGCAAGATGAGATGCCCAGGTTGATGGTGGTGGAGGGGTAGGAACCACGACTCGGATGCTATGCCTCCACCGTCGATAGAGCAACGAAGAGGTCAGATGAGGGAGGCGAGAGAGGCCCGTCTCGTCCTGCCATTGGAGGACCCAGAGAAGCGAACCTCTGCGCCGATGACTCTATTCCTGTCTCTAGAAACAACGGGAATCTCTCGGAATCTGCTTTGTTTGGAATGACGTGGACGAGCACGTCAAAACAGAGCGAGCATTAAGGGGTCGGGTCGAATCGTCTTGTCTCGTCATTGGCTTTCCCGCAAGAGATCCTGTTCAGAAAACCTCCTGGACTGGTGGCCTCTCTACACAGGGACCGACAAACACGAGCACTCGCTCTTTCCGAAGATATCGAGCTCGTCCCTTTGACAAACACGATCCCTGCGAAGACGGGTGGACGGGTCTCGAGATGAAGTCGCAGACGGGCCGATGGGGGACAACCGTTACGCGGGCAGAATCTCGGGGGGAGCTATGCTGCCGCTTGGGCAGGGCAGACGCGGAAGGTCTCCTCGATGGATGCTATATCAATACCGGTATGGTCCAATAGGGGGAAAACGTTGCGCCGCCTCCCTCGGACCCAGCTCGTAATGATGAGATGAGGCCTTCCATAGGCTGGCGCGGCCCCAAGGCCCTACGTTCCGAGCCTAGTACATCGGGTACGTCTAACGGCGTCTCCGCGGTATGAGGACAGAGAAAGAGATGAAGAAGGATGTACGGATACGGGAGAGAACGCGTCTGAGCGTCGTCTATCTGTATCTGTATGCCTGCACCTCTCGAAGCGCGTTGAGACGTTCGTTCCCCAAAGCAGAAAGGCAAGATGGCGGATGGAAAGGCAAGAAAGAAAAGGCGTTCTGTTCAAAAATTAGCAACAAGCCCTCCTGGTCCTGACTAGTCTCACTGTGATTTTGAACATCATCTTAATTCATCCTCCGGACGATCTTTGCTAGCCCTCTTCGGATGCAAGACCGAAGGGCTGCGGCTGTGGACAAGGCTGTAGAGTCAAAGCTGGTGGCCTGACGTCCATCTTTTGAGAATCCGAGACTTGAAGGCCCAGTCGCCTTGCTTCGTCTCCGCCTCCGCCTCCCTCCGAAGCCTGTCACGCCTGTCAACCCCTTCCTTCAGCCCACCAGCCCGAGCAGCAAGGAGGGATTCGGAGCCTTGTCTCTCATCGTTAGTAGTGCAGATCGAGGCGTAGGGCCGTGGTTGTGGCGTTGATGTGAAGAGCCAGTCGTATCTTTGGACGTGCGGACGGAGGTGGGTCCGCTGGGATTGAGTGACGGGGGGGCTTGCGCGGGAGAAAAATGGGAATGACAGGGAATTGGATGGAGAGAGAGAGAGTGTGTGGAAAATATCCCCTGGAGGGGTGGGATGTACGGCGGTACATGCCACAGTCATGAAGGAAAGGGGGGCGTGCAGCAAAAGTCTGTTTCCCAGGCTGGTATCGAAACGTCGCATATCCTTACCTGTATCCTTACCTCACGGTTAGCTGAGGCACCCACCTAGGCAGGTAAAGGAAAGGCACGGTGCCGACAGGGAGCCGTGATGATAATTCGCCAGTAATAAGGGTGAAGAGTGGATTCTTCCGTCGGGCGGCCGGATCACCGGGCGGCAGGTGCACGCTTGAACACTCCAGATTGCACCGAGAAGATGCGCCGTTAGTGCCATTGCATTCGTTGTATTGCGTCTACTGGTAGGGCGAGCCGAGGAAAACCAATGGCGACTGACTGTTTTCTAGGTCATGTAAGCTTGCAAGGTATCTTGATTATTTGGCTCCGGGACGAAGACCGTTTAGGATCATCGCTAAGGACTTAGTAAGGCCAGCTGGGGCCTCATTCTCAAGACTCAAAGGCATCTTTGGAGCTTTTACCCTTCCGAATCTGTGCTCTTCAGACTTCGCCCCGTCTAGGTGCGTATGACCGAACAACGTAGACGCTAACGAGGTCTCATGGGAGACAGTTCCTTGCGGGTTCCGCCGCCGACGACATACATCGTAGGAAGACATAATCACCCCGAGGTCCCTACGCGTCGTCTGCGCCTCCAGTATGGACATGGTCAATGTCGCTGCTCAGAGTCTTACGGGATGCCGCCCTGAACATGTTGTCCGTCGGGGACCACATTTGGTCTCCGGAACAGAGATCGTCCCGTCTTCCAAAGTCAAATATCAGGCGGGATCGTAAACTGTGTCCATCGGCCGCCTAAAAGAACGTCTATAACGAATAGGACCTTAACGACGGATTGCCCAACCATAAATGCTGCAAGGCCCTGTGTGCTTCCTATTCGTCTGCTCTCACTGACTACTGTGAACGTGCAAAGATTCTCCCTGCCTCAACTCGATGTGTCTGTTGCGAAGCGTATACTTGGTTGATCGACCCCAAACACGTTTCCCCCGAGCCAAACAACCTGCTTCATCCTCGTGTTTGACAGCTGCATCGTTCCGTGAGATGTACGTGTTACGTTACGCCTGAGCAGTTTTTCTCCTTCTACGGTACGCTCGGCTCAAGTCCGTCTAAAGTCGCGATGTGACCCGAAGCGTAAGTTCGCGAAGGCGTACGTGGCACACGCCGACCCCTTTTGGCGACCATGAAGCAGCCGCGTGCGCACTCCGTGGTATCTTGTTCCGAAATCTAAGCATATCGGTCCGTGTTACACATATCAACACACCACGCTTGGTTCCTCGCGTGCCGTAGTAGTCTCTCGGAAGAATGCGCCAACCTGGTTTTCGTCGGCACGTTCATAACCATCGTCCGTTTAAGGCTTGTCCACTGACAGGCCAACACAGCTCGAAATCCTTCATCGGCTGCGCGGATGCTTCGTTGCGCTGCGTCGCTACTGAGGAACAGGGTTCATCAGTAATGGCAAAGGGTCCACCATGGCGTAGAAAGAAAAAAAAGGCTGGCCAGCCATGGCTGCTAGGACCTAGGTATCGCGGATAAGCATGACAAGGGTTTGGTGATTGTCCCTTTGCGAGGTGTCAGGAAGGGGAGAGGCGATGGAGATCATCCGGCGGGGGTTCGTGGAGAAGAACGGGCTTGCATGTACGCAGTAGACGTACATCGCTCGATCCATTTGTGACCACGCAGACCGTTACATCCTTGATTGATGAGCATTTCTCGCCGACAGCGCGCAGATTGCATAGCCAGTCATGTATTTACCCAAGCATCGACAAGGAGCAGGGCGGTCGGGGAAAGACAGAGACTGGGGCGCGCGGGGGATGTGTGCAGTGTAGCCGTACACTACGCAACGAGATTAGATTTGCGAGGAAAGCTTCGAGGTACGTGCCTATTCCTTTTGATGAAATCAACACTGTCACCTCGAAGGAGGGGGTACGGGCAGATGGAACACGAGTATGCCAAGTAAAAACCACTCGTAGTGTCGGAAGATTGTTGACCTGATGAATTGTCCGTTTACTACAGTCAAGAAGTACTCCATAGCAGAGTACCACCATGGTTCAGCCTGTATCTGTAATGGTTGGCAGCTTGGGTAAGCCAGAGCAAGGTTGTAATGCCTGTGAATGCGACGTTGACGAGAGTTTGTCGCCGTCAGCCCTCCGAGATGACGGACGACGGTGACAGGTGAGCAAGCATGGGGCTTGTCGTCCACCCGAATAATCCTGTCAGAGCTTGCGAGAACCCTATGACGGCATCTTCGTCGTTGGCTCTTCTGGTCGACAAATGTTGTTCAATTTCGGGCGAATTGTGGTGGCTCTGAAGTTGGACAATCCGGCTTGTAAGGATGATGTGATTGGCGCCGGGAGCGCTAGTATCGGTGATGATACATTAGCACGACGGAATAAGAACGAGAAGAGGTCGCGTACTTGCCTGGGATACACTGTCTTGTTTAACTCTGTTCCGTCTAATCTATACCGTTTGCTGGCATCATGTAGCTGGCATCTGGCGGAATCCAGAGGTCTCAGCTGCACCGCCTGGGCGGCGCGATTTCTCGAGACAGGCCGCATCAGCAAGTCGTCATCGCCGGGAGGAGGACGAAGAAGTCAACCATGGAAGTCCTCAGGGGGTTCCGGGGAGGGATGGAAGGCTTAACAGAGTAGCGTTAAGGCAGGTCTCAAGCACGGAGGGTGGGTATGAAACCGGAGCAACTCTGGGGGCAATCCCAGTGCAGTTGTGCCGCCTCGACGCTGATGAGGTTGAGAATGTGTCGATCCCAGGAAGCTCTCGGTGGTGAAAGGGCATGATTGGGGCTCCAGCTCTCATCTGAAGTCGGCCTTTCTCGAAGGGGACTTAGAACGAAGTTAAGAATAGGTAGGCGTGGCGTGGCGTGTCAACGGCGGTTCCCACTCCCGTTGCGACTGACATTTTGATGGACTGGCTGGCGGCGTGTCAAACTCTTCTCGACGAGTCGATCCAAGACGGCGTCAAGGACAAGCTCGATTGTCGTTCAGGGGCTGCGTCAGGGATGTAGTCGCCAACATCATGGGGGGTTTTGCTGGTCCCTGTACCTGGAATGCAGTCCCTGAAGAGGAACACAACATCGATTCCCGTCGTCGGTCAAAGCAAATCGGAGCGGGGCTGGGAAGGACAAGTCGGACTACAGTTGATGAAAGGGGAGATGTTCAGGAGGCTGATGTGGAGAAAAGCCGGCAGACGAGTCGTTGACGCTGGGCGGTGATGATCTTGCAGCCCAAGATGTTGCGTAGTTTAGGTTGAGGTTGGAGGGGCACGGAGGGGGCAAGTAAGCTGGTAAGGTAAGGTAGGACGCACGCACGTAGGGAAGTCGCCATGTGAATGCAGCTCATCTGAAGCCGGGGCACACTAAGGCAGGAAATGTGGAACGAGATTTTCCTCTAGCTGCTAACATCATTCATTTCCAGGTCGGAATTCCACAAACCGGAGCTGGGGAAAGGTGAACCGCGTTGTTTTAGCGGACGTAGAAGGTCGGAATGTGAACGCAGTAGTAGCAGAGTCAGAACATCTAGACACAAGCTGTCCCAAGGCATGAGATGCATCACTAGTGAGAAGAGAAAAGCCTCTAAGGTGCCTCATAGGGGTCATACTGCCTCGAAGTCCGACAGCGAAAGCGTCGACTTTCATTTCTGAAGACTCCCGTTACTGGAGACTTTGACGAGGGTCTGAAGAGGAAGCTCCGACCTTGGAAATGGTGCGAAGGAGAGATGGACATGTTGAAGTGGATAAGGACATCATCTCAGCTTGTCGTACTCTTTCCCTCTACAGGTTCTCTATACGTACCCAAGTACCTTTATCTGAGATGCCAGGCAGGTACGGAGTAGGTACAATTGGAGGTTCGTGAATCAAGATACCTTTTGTCTGGGTTCGGTCCCTCAGTGCCTCAGCTAATACTTTTTAAGCAGATACTTTGCTGTGGAGGAATTAAGCGTGCTCCGTTTCGATCTTGCTGCAGCCCCTTGTCCTGCGCACTGGTCAATCATCGACCATCGAATGGGGGGTGGTATTGGGTATGCCTGCCCCGAGTGCTAGTCTACCTCGTGCAATGAAAGTCGAACGATTTCTGATATTTGGCCGACATTCAGGGCAATGCGAAATAGGAACATACCGTAAGGTGTTGGAGAGCCGTCTAAGGTCAACGTTCACTAATACTCCCGTCCTCGTGACGACTTCAGCACAAGCCCTCCACTCCAATTAAACCCTATCGCCGATACGGAATGTCAATGCGGAATTTCCTTCCTATCAGTTCGGAGCTTCTACGACCGCAAAGCTATGATATTTGACTGAATGGAACAGAATAGCTCAAGGTTTTGATGGCTTGACGGCTTGCGCGGTTGGCTAAGGTAGTCTGGCAGCGTCACGTAATTGCGCCGTTGAGCTATAGCTTGAGAGCCTTTACCTTGTGTGGTGATAGAGCCCGGACTGGTCCCCGAGCCACGAATCTTCACTCGCCGGGGCCAGTTCCGCAGTACAGCAAGTGGCTTCTGCTGGGGTCAAGGCACAAAGCACAAGCCAGGGCTCAAATGTGAGGTAGCCATGTGCAGATACGCCGCTGTTGATCATTCACTGATCGTGTGGCTTGAAAAATTCATGTTAGTGTATGGAGTAGTGGTCTGCGGCACCTGATTATCCGCAGTGATCTTCAGGACCTGTGGATACCGGAATCCTAGTAGGTAGTTAGGTAGTCACGTAGTGTAGCGATACAGTACTGCTAGTCTGCTGCAGTAACGTGGAGCTTTGCAAATGAAGAGCTTGGGATACCATCGACCTACAGGCTACAGTACTGTTGTTGATGTTGACCTGGATAGATGAATGGAAGGGTCATGCAGATTCCAGATATGGTCGAACCCTGAGATGAAGAGATCAAAGAAATGGAATGAGTGCCAAGGACTTTTGCTAGACTTTGAGTCTGGGCCTGTTCCTGACTTGTTGACCTGTTTCCCGGGACTCCTGAACGTGGAGGTCTCAGAATTGTCATCTTGGCATGTGTGGCTTCCATTCCCATCCACGCCGTCTTCTTTGTGTTGCCAGGACCCTTCCACCTTCGTGCTTTCCACGCGGAACAATAACAATGCGAGCAAGCTACCTTACGCTTGGGACCCCAAGTCAAGACACCCTCCACAGCCCAGGCCAGACCTTCTCCAAGTAAGGCTCAGGTACCTCAGTGCCGTGGCACCTTGCCTACTGCTTAGACTGGTGGTCGTGAATCCGCAGAGCTAGACAGCCTTTGACTCTCCACATGGCGTCTCTTACATCAGCAACAATAATCAAGCCCCCAGTACCCTCCCCATTACCTCAATGTGCAAATCGTCTACTGCGTTTCGACTACCAGCCGTGCCAGCCGCATCGTCCTTTCCCAAAACAAGCTGGGGAAGGGGCTTGGAGGGGTAGGTACACGACCTCCTGAGGTACCTTCGAAGGGAACATCTTAGCTAAGGTACGGTGGGTCCTTCCAACTGGGCTCAGGTCTGCCCTGCTCTGCTAGCGTCTGCCCTCCACACTCCCGCTCCCACTTCCACTCCCACCACTTCGTCGCTGTCGTGCAGACAGAGTGACAGACAAACACAGACACCCCGACCCTCACAAACCTCCACCAAAATCCTTCTCTCCTATCAACGCTCAGATATTATCACGATCTACCTGTTCCATCCCCATCCGGTCCTCTTCTCCAACTTGTCTTGTCAACCCCGAATTTCGACCGCTCCAGACGATCCGCCACTCTGATGAAATCGGTACGCCTCATCCTCACCCTCGTTGGTTCAGGCCCAAGCCGTTCTTCAGACTCCAGACATCAGACTTCAGCCTTCAGGACGTCTGTTCTTTCTTGCAGCTTTCCTGCTCGGAGATTCATCTCTCCAAGTGCTGGCAACATTGGCCCGTCGTGACCATAAACAGCGCTCTAGGAGGACTGAAGCTACCCCATCCCTGATTTGACGGAATGACGTCCTCTACACCACCTGAACCCCCCAGCCCTCAGGAAGATCACCCTTGGGTTCCATCTCGAATTCAGATGTTCCATCTCAGCAATGCTGGATTCGAATACACATGTCGAAAGAAGAACCAAGCAACCATGTACGGGGTTTCTCAGATGCTACACTTCGAGGTCGCAACGTGCCTCAATGTGCTAGGTGGTCCCCACGATCCAACTTCGGCCAAACCAAACAGCCAGCTCAAGATGATTTGCCTCGACCTACGCCTGTCCGTACGCCCCATTCCGTTGGCGCCGCTGAAACCCGAGCTAGTGGCTCTTTAGAGGCTTCGTACTTTTCCCCCCGTCGCCAGATATTGTCAGAGTTCAATTCAAGTCTTGTCCAAACAAGAAGTGCTGGCTACAGGGGTCGCAATCGGGGCGCCATCCCGTACAGATCCGGTCGTCGTCGACGAGAATCCACCACACTTGATTGTGAATCTGCAGCAGGCGAGGCACCAGGGCTGCAGGGTGGTCTGGGCCAGCCCGAACAAACACGGATCAAGGCCAAACCGATGCAGGCTTGCAGTGCTGGCTCCTGGTCCGTCTCCGGGATCCCTTGGCCGCTGCCGCCCTGCTGTGGCCGTTCCTGGTGGAACCCACGGCCGACCAGGTAGGCCATGGCAGGTTGACGGCGGCCTTCTTTGGCACTTTGCTGAGATGCAACACAAGCAACGGTGTACGCAGTACTCCGTAGTCACTGACGTGACGAGGATGAGATTCCACCACATATCTGAGGCGCCAAATACGGTAGCACCGTAGTGTAGTAGGGTTACAGGGGATCAGCCGCAGGCGGCCAACCACCTTTCATGATCCCTCTTGGAATGCCTCTCTGCGGTGGACACACATGGCCGCAAGATCACCTGCTAATACGTCCTAGGATGGGATGGTGTTTGCGATATCGTCGATGCACCATTCATAGAACGGCGAGTGCCTATCCCGTTCCTTCGCCAAACGTTGGTGTTCTTTCTAGCTCGCTGCTGGAATGCGGCTGTAATACTCATACCGAGCCGATGGCCAAGAATATGTCTGGATAGACCACGGCATGCCACCAAATGCAACGGCGAACCTCTGGATTCTACACACGTTTGGCACCCGGAACGTTTATTCCCCGCCCGCGCCTCAACGACATATCCCACACCACGAAGAAGCGCACAGTCGAACTCGGTCTCTCTGGCTTTAATTCTATACCCATGTCTTTACAGACTCGACAGAAATTGGTCAATGTCAACGGCTCACCAGAATATCATGGCATCCTCGTACAAAAGTATTTTGGTCTGGGCACGGCGCATAGGTACCCACTCGCACCGGGAGAGTCTCGGAAGTTGCCTCTGGTTGCGGATCCACTGGGCTTCCGGCTCTCCCACTTGATCCCCCCGATTCATCCCTGATTAGGCGCATGCCCCATGGCCACCCCTTGGACTTCTTGGCCCACATTTTGGCGTCGATGCCCAGTGCCCCCCGGCTCCCACCCACTTTGTGGTGGTGGAGGCATCCACATCTGTTCGCACTGCCATCGTGGGTCTTGGGCTGGGATGGCACTGGAGAACCTTTCATCTGCAGCGGTCACCACCAAAAATCAAGGGGCAGCCCTAGCTAGCTATCTAGAGTGCTAGACCAGAGTCGGCGAGAAGTCAACGATTGAAGACTGGTCGTATAGACGCGAGGATCAATTTGGGTCTGCTCATGGCCGAAGAGGCGAGTGGAGGACCAACTGCTGACCGAACGCGGTCCGACAAGTGTGCTTACGAGGATCGCAAACAGCTCAATGATATCAACTGTCTCTCACTGTGGACGTTGAGTCGAATGGACTTCGGTCGATGTGTTCGTCGTCTACAGGGAATCATGGTTCCGATCATACAACTAGACGTGTTTGTCGTTGGGCCGCTGAATGTAACGTCCAGGCCGACTCCAGGGACTTGACGGTGGAAGTCTATTTCTCGGGTATCACAATGTTGGTGGGCGTGTCTTTACTATGGAAGAGACAAGCTGGGTAGTGCCTTTCTTTTTTTGTTGCCGCGCGCCCTTCATATCTGGCAAAAAAATGTCTGACCTTGATATGGAACTTCGGTCTATCTCCCACTTTTGTCCAGTTCACCCTCCCGGAGCTTCCAAACCCTCCTCTTTCCATACAGGCATATGAAGATATGAGACACCTGAGTCGGGTTGCAGGGACTGGGCTTGTTGAAGCTGGCAGAGCAGGCGTTGTGTGGTTTGTAAGTGAAGCTCAATTCTGGCGGTATGGTATTTGCATCATCTTAGATGCTGTTGTATTTCGACGAAGTTGGCTCTGACTTTGCAGTTGTGTCTGTTTATGCAGCCTCTCTATCCGGACCTCGAAGGATTTTATAAAGCCCCACGCCCACTCTCAATTGGGTTGGGGCGAGTACTGATACCTTCTCTACTCTGTACAGCATGACGGATATCTCCTGCGCGCTTGAAAAGCTTGGCAGATCTTGGAGACATCGCCCGCGCATCTTTACACACGTCACACTTTTGCAGTTTATTGTTCTCGGTTGTACTAGCTCGCCTTTTCGACTTGGTCCAAACGACACTTGTCACCGAGTCTCAGTGTCAAAACTTCCCACGGTCAAAGCCACAGCCACCTCAAGCCTCTAGTGCTGGTACATGGCAAAGTATCCGTACTCTCCACTCTGCAATTCCACAGCAACACCTGGGCAGCCCGACAAGCCACAAGAAGGCGAGAAACCTATCAATCAACCTGGTATACGACGTACGACAGACTAGTCACCTATACGCATATTCATCCCGCGTTGATAGTTACCAGAAAGAGGTTTGATTCGTACAGATACATAGTCTGCGGCTGGATTACCTTATTGTGTACATAAGGTTTCTGGGCATCTGGTCCCTCATCTGGCAATCACGAGACGAGGCAAGAGAGTCCACATTCAAACCTGGAGAGAGAGACACAGCCCCACCGTGGAGGACGACGGGGATCGCTATTCTTTCCTTGGGCCGTGCCTGAGAGCGAGACCCCATTGTTGGAACAGTCAGCAGCGCTGTGAGCATTCTGTCAGCATCAACAAGCAACAGGCCCAAGAGACATCCCCTGACCAGATTCCAGAAGGAGCAACAACAGCAGAACCTTATTTGCCAGCGAATTGGATAGACGGGGAAAGCCTCGGTTGAAAACGCCACCAAAGTACTATCGTATGCGAAATACCTAGGTTAGAAGAGGGTAAGAGAGAGAAAGTCCAGAGGTGAGTGAGTGCGGAACTTACCGAGCCTACAGAGAGCACCTTGGCTGCATTGAGTGTGCACCTCGCACAACCAAATATCTACATACATACCTACCTTACCTTATGGATAGATACTAAGGAAAGCGCAGGCGTAAACGCAGAAGCATAAGCAAAAGCAAAAGCGGACGCAGAAGCAGACGCAGACGACAGACGCACATCTCAAGTGACCTCGACGACCGTCACAGCGTCACCCGCCTAACTCCCCCCGGCCGTGTTCCACCGAAGCATCCACGCACCCACGGCACCCCACAATTTGACCGCCGAAAACGCTTCCGATCCCCCCCTCCCCCCTGCAAGTTGAGGTACGGTGCAGCGGTGCTGAGAAGTTCAAGAAAGAAGTGTGGGAGGAAAGAAAAAGGTCTCCAACTCTTCTCCCACCTGCACGCCGTGTACAAGTACTCCGTACCTACGCCCCCCGCGCCTGGCAGTGGACTACAAGTACACGCCTGCAACCTGCAACTCCACAGCTGCGCCCACTTGGATTGGTGCATCCGCGGCCCTTCCAAGCAATCACAGGTCGCCGATTACCACACCCCCCCTTTTACCTTATACATCCTTCTATTCTCTGTGCGACGCCCCCCCTCCCCCTCCCCGGCAGGCCGTCCCTCCCCAACCCCAGTTTTTGCTGCACGAACAAGCCGGCGACATTCCCCATCACCCATCTTTCTCCTCTCTGAGCAGTGAGCATCACAAATCTGCTCCGCTGCTTTGGTTTGGTTTGGTTTTTTTTGCCCTTGACCACCCAGACCTGGACCTTACCTTGACCTTGACCTAGACCTAGACCCAGTCTTGCGCCCCTCTGTGTCTCTGGTAGGAGGTTTTATTTTGTTTTATTTTTTTATTCTCTATTTGCTGCTCGATGAGTGGCCGAGTCAGAGTTCCTCTTCTCCGACAAATCTCGACCGGACGCCTCTTCTCCTCTCCGCCCCCCGCCCACCCATCCAGTCCCGGTTCTTTCTTAACTTTGTGCTACTGTCGCCAGCTTTGTGGAACATTCCCCTTCTTATTCTCTCGAGAACACTAGACGGCACGACAACAACTTCATCACCAACGGCCAAGACGTGCGCACGCGACCTGATTGATTATTTCTCGGCCTCGACATCAATACCAGCCATCTTCACCGAGTCTTTCCGCCGCCGCCTGGTGTTTCTTCCTTGCGACCACTGTGACCCTCTTCCCCCACTGCTCCAACTCACACTTACACCGGTGACCGCGGTCCAAAGGCATAAACAGGGACAGGGACGAACGCCGTCCTCAGCGCCGGCGTTGTGCGGGGAGCCAGCTTGCCAGCTCGCTCGGCACCGTCTTCTTCCACTGTCGCCTCTCCGTTGATCATTCCCTTGATTCGTGCATGACAAAGGACAATGTCATCTAGCCTGCAGCAGCTCCAAAGCCAACAACTCAGAGCTGTCAGTCTCGAATATTCGCAGCAGCACCCTCATGCCCACGCTCTCGACTCGCCCGGCGCTCATTCTCATATAACCACTTCCTCAGCCTCCCACCAACCCTTCTCCTCCGGAACCCCAAATGACGGTATGCGGTCCAACAGCGCCAACCACAGCGTCGTCGATGCCTCCCATTTTGCCGACGACTTTTCTTTCCCTCCGAACCCGCTGGACGACCAGAGCGCAATGATGTTCCTCGGCGAACCAGATCACGCTGCCGACATGTTCCCGACCTCGCATCGCCCCTCCGTCTCTTCCATCGGTGGTCGCCAAAACTCAATAACGGTCATGCCTGTCGGTTTTGCGCAGGCCATGAACCAGCGCCGCCACAGCATTATTACCTCGGAAGATGGCAGCCAGGACAGCGGCCACGCCGAGCACAATCCACTCGAGGATGCCGGTGCCGATGAGTTTGGCCTACCTACGCAAATCGCCGGCAACGGGTCTGACCTAGGCGGGAAATCCAAGGACGACAAGTCAGACCAGACGCCCGCATGGAGCGAGTTGAAGACCAAGGCCGGCAAAGAACGAAAGCGACTTCCTCTAGCGTGCATCGCATGCCGACGTAAAAAGATTCGATGTTCGGGAGAAAAGCCGGCGTGCAAGCATTGCCTTCGATCACGGATTCCCTGTGTGTACAAGGTGACAACCAGGAAAGCCGCGCCGAGGACCGACTACATGGCCATGTTGGACAAGCGACTGAAGCGCATGGAGGAGCGCATCATCAAAATTGTGCCGAAAAACGAACAAGACTCCAATGCGGCGTCGCTGACCCGCGCCGTGGTTAAACCGGCTATTCCGGGATCCCTCCCCGCAGCGAAAGCCAACTCCAAGAAGCGAGTTGCCGACGAAGCGTTTGGTCAGGATCTCGACCACTGGGCAAAAGCGCCCGCCAAGACAAGAATTGAAACGCCAAACAAGAACTTGTCGTTGCAAGCGCAGGAAGCAGAGGAGAACAAGCTCTTCCTGGAGGGGCTCGATGCACTTCCGTCCAAGGAAATCCAGGAACATTTAGCCGAGGTATTTTTTGAGAACATTTACGGCCAAGCATACCACCTGCTCCACAAGCCCAGCTACATGAGAAAACTCAGGTATGTGTCCTCTCGTGAGACTGCACTAATAATTCAAATGCTGACTTCGAACACGCAGAGCTGGCACGCTTCCGCCAGTGCTCATACTGTCCGTTTGCGCGATAGCCGCCCGCTTTTCCAGCCACCCGAAACTCAACAACTCATCACCAAACTTTCTCCGTGGCGAGGAGTGGGCGTCGCATGCGCGGGACATCTGCACCAGGCGATATGAGTGGCCCAACATCACGATACTGACATGTCTCCTTATCCTCGGCCTTCACGAGTTTGGTACGTGCCATGGCGGTAGGAGCTGGGCTTTGGGAGGCCAAGCAATCCGCATGGCCTTTGCTCTACAACTTCACAAAGACTTGGACCACGATCCCCTGAATCGCAGCGGGGCATCGCAGCTGAGTTTCATCGACCGTGAGATCCGGCGCCGGACAATGTGGGCATGTTTCCTCATGGACCGGTTCAACTCCTCCGGTACCGAACGACCTACCTTTGTGAGGGAAGAGACGATTGAAATTCCGCTACCGATCAAAGAAAAATACTTCCAACTCGATATGCCAGCCCCGACGGAAACCCTCAAGGGCAAGGTCCCTCATCCCGTGTCTGCTGAGGATGGCCAGATGGCCGATGCGAAGGAGAACATGGGCGTTGCCGCTCACATGATCAAGACCATCTCGCTCTGGGGTAGAGTCATCAACTATCTGAACCAAGGAGGAAAGGAGCTCGACCCCCATCCCATCTGGAGCCCCGAATCTGAATACACCAAGTTGCTGCAGCAGTCCGAAGATTTGCTCGACAACCTTCCAGAATTTCTTCGTTACTCCCCCGAGAACGTCGCGCTCCACGATACGGAAAAGATGGCGAACCAGTTCCTGTTCCTCCACATCGCGATGCAGCAAAACGTTCTCTTCCTCAACCGAGTTGCCGTTTCAACACCAAACAGCCCCGCTGCGCAAGGCGTTCCTCGGGAGTTTGTCGCCAAGGCAGGCGACAAGACGTTTGCAGCCGCCAACAGGATTTCCGAGGTTCTCAAAGACGCCGAGTCTCACATGGTGACTGCCCCCTTTGTCGGCTATTGCGCCTTTTCGTCTGGGACAATCCACATACTCGGCATCTTCTCGGGCAATCCTGCTGTCGAGGCAGCATCGAAACGAAACTTGGCGACAAATGTCAAGTTTCTGTCAAAGATGAAGAGGTATTGGGGCATGTTCCACTACATGTCTGAGAACCTCCGTGAGCAATACAGGACATACGCCGATGCCGCCAGACAAGGCAATTCGGCAAAGGAGACGTCAACGGCTTCCCCCATCTTTCAGTACGGCGACTGGTTCGACCGATACCCTCACGGCGTTTCACAATCCGACTTTTCCGACCCAGCATCTACGAAGAAGAAGGAGAAGGGCGACGACGCCGTGTTGGAGCAGAAACCAGAATTACACACCGTGGAGGAATACTTTACGAGTTTGTCGCCACCTCGCAGCACAGAAGGCAATTCGTCGAGGCCAAACCCGCTCAAGCGCAAGTCTTTCGTCGAAAAGAAACTCGGCACTCCGGGTATGAGAGCAGATGGAAGCCAACTGGAACCGCTTTCCACCGAGAACGTTGCTGCCACGGCGCAAGAGCAACTGAGCGCCCGCATGCAACAACAGAGAGGCATGCAGCAAGGCTCGCTCGGCGGCCAGACAAGCGGACCGACCAGTTTCAACCCCCTCACTGTGCCGCATTCGCAAGGCTCCAACTACCACGCCCTATCTCCCATCAGTCCCATCGCCGTCAGCCAGTACGGGCACCACCACCCGGGCACACCGTCATTCTTCTCTCCTGACTTGCTCAACATGTCGATGAATCAACAGAACGGCATCTTGCAGCCCCTGGACCGGCAGCTCGTGTTTGGCGGGTACTCCATGGAACAGGGCAACATGAGCCACTTTGACGGTATCGACTGGGACGGCATGCCGAGCAGCGCCCACAGCGCACCGGGAGCGCACAGAGACGGTGCCCGCTCGCGTCCCTCGCGCGGCGGTCCCAATGGCATGGGCGGGCCCGGCCACGGACACGGGGAGGGCATGGGGTTCGGAGGCCAGGAGGCGTCGACGGCGTGGTTCATGCCGTTTAACATGGAGCCGCCCGAGATCGGGCAGGACATGGGTATGAATATCGACGGGTTCGGCAACATGTTTGGCAGCGGGTTGCATCACGGAGCACGATGAGCTTTGTTGTAGGAGATGTCTGTCAACCCTCTGAAGCATTGTATTAACTTTGCACTGTACATCTTGTCTCGGAGAATTATCTTCTCCCATTTTCTTTTTCCAAAATTATGACGTATATGAAGGGAAAAAAAGACGGATGGGCATGGCATGGCACGGGAACATGGACGGGAGAAGGGGAGATAAAACCTCACGCGGTCTTAGCTAGCGATTGATTCTTGCACATTTCTTCTTGTGAGATACCACGACCGAAACTCTTAATGCAAAATATCAAAGAAAATATCTGCAAATTACAGTGTCCCCTCCCCAAACTAGATAACTTTTGGTGTGAAACTTACAACCGGGAGATCCAAATCTGTACATGGTATCGTTGTGGTCTAAATGAACTACTACTTTTTCTCTTTTCGGTACCCGAACGAAAGCCTTTTTTATGCAAACAACGACAAGAAAGTACTACCACAAGTTTCTTCCTCTCCTCTACTCCTCTACGGCGACACCCTCATCAGCCTTCTTCTTCCCCCTAGACCTCTTGCGCTTCTTCCCACCATCAAGCGCAGCGCCGCCATCCTCGACGTCCTCCTCATCCTTTCCGTCGTGCTGCTTCTCCTGCGCAGCAGCGCGCTTCGCACCCCTCTTGCGTCCCTTCTTCTCCTTGACCTCCACGTCCTCCAACCCGAACGTCGGCCCCGTCCTCTCAAACTCCTCCCCAAAGTGCTCCCGCCGCCACTGCCTGAGCCTCGCCTTCTTGCCCAGCCTCTTCTTGTCCTTGCGCTTCTTGTCCTGGTCGCGGAAGGTGGCGAGCTTCTTGAGGCCGGCGAAGCTGTTGAGCGCGGCGTCCGAGGGCGCGAGGAGGATGTCGCGGGCCGTCATGCCAAAGGCCTGCGGGGAGGTCTCGCGGTAGCGGAAGGCGGGGACCTCGTTGGCGGCCGCGGCTTCGGTGGCGGATTTGTGGAGGGAGGAGGAGCCGGGGATGTCGGCGGCGTCGAGGTCCATTTTGGCGTCGACGAGGGCTTCGAGTTTGGCGCGTTGGAGCTTTGCTGCTTTTTTGGCCGAGAGGCGGTCTTTTTTGGCGTCTTTTGTGGTTTTGCGCTTTTTGGAGGGGCGGGAGTCCGAGTCTGAGGCTGAGTCGTTATCTTCGCCAGCTGCTGCTGCTCCTTCGTCGTCGGAGAGTGTGATTTGCGGGTTTTCCGTGTCGTCCTTGAAGTCGGGGATGATGTCGTTGATGTCGATGTCGTCGTCCCACTTGGGCTTCCTAGGCTTATTCTTCTTCTTCGTCTTGCCGTCTTCCGCCGCATCCTCCTCGTCGTCCGACTCGGCGCCGCCCTCGACCTCGGCGTAGTACTCCTCACCGAACCGGCGCTTCATCTCGCTCTCCCACCGGTCGTCGTCCCACGCGTCGTTCAGGAAGCGCAGCCACTCGTCGTCCTTGAGCTCCTCGCCCCGCAGCCCGGCGGCGTGCTTGATCTTCTTGAGCTTCTCCTCGGCCTCCTCGAGCTTGAGCCTGCGCAGCCTGGCCTTCTCTTCTTTGCGCTCCGCCTTCTCGGCCTCCTTCTTCTCGCGCTCGGCGTCGCGCTGCTTGCGGCGCGACGTGGCGGCCTCTTTGCGGACGGAGCGGGCGCTGACAATCTCACGCGAGTACGTCTTGAGCGCGGCGTTCGATTTGGCGGGGTCCTCGAAGCGGAGGTTGTAGGCCTCCTCGAACTTGTCGTAGAGCTCGCCCTCGTCGCCCTCGCCCTCGTCCGAGTCGAAGGCCTTCCAGTTGTGTTCGCCGCCCTCGGTCCAGGCGCGGGCCGCCATGAAGTTTGACAAGAAGAGCTCCGGGTCGCGGTCGGCGTTCTTGATGTCGTCTTCGGTGATTTGCTTCTTGGTCTTCTTATTCACCTGCGCCGCGCGGGCCGGGTGCACGCCGTCGACGGCGGGGCCGTCTGCGATCTTGGCGACCTTTTGTCCCGGTTTTCGCTTGACAAAGTCCTCGCCCTCCTCGTCGTCGTCGGAGCCGCCGTCGGCCGCCTTATTGATCTCCGAGATGATGGACTTCTTGAGGGCGTCCTGCTCCTGGTTGTACGTCTGCGGCGGGGCGAGTGCGTCGTCGTCCTCGTCGTCCTCGGCGCCGACGCCGCCTGCGAGGATCTTTTCGCGGTGGTAGTCCTTCAGGAACATGGGCTTCTCCTTCTTCGTCTTGGAGGGCGTGGCCTCACCACCGGCGGCGCCGGCGGCGCCAGCGGCAGCCTCTGGGAAGAAGGAAAAGTTCTTGTCGAGCACGCGGGGGTCCTTGTTCTTGATCGCGCTGAGGGTGGCGGAGATCTGGGCGTCCAGGTCCTCGGTCGCGAGGAAGCCGTCTTCGTCTTCGGTCTCGTCTGAGGAGGACGAGTCGCCGTCAGAGTCGTCGTCTTCGGCCTGCTTGCCTTTGCCGGGCTTCTTGAACTTTTCCTCGACTGTGTGCAGCCACTTTGTTAGAATGCTTTCATAATATTATAGCGACAACAATCAATTGGGTTGAACCTACGTCTGTGCATCTCCTCGCGCTTCTTGTTGTGCTCGAAGCGCTTGGCGTACTCCTCGTTGACCTTCAGCGTCGGCGCCGCGATGTCTGCCCCTCCATCATCGCTGTCTGAGTCGCTGTCGTCCAACAGGTTGACCTTCTTGGGAGCCTTCTCCTTCTTGGTTTCCGGTGCCATCTTGACCAAGTTGCTTCCCCTCGTATAGGAAGTCTATGTGCAAAACACTTCGTCGCAAATGGGTAGGAAGCGAAATCTTGCAAGCCGCGGGATGAGACCCTTGAATCGAAGATCTCAAAGGTGGTCAAGCAACTTTTTTTTTTCTGCCGCTTAGCCCAGCAAGCTGCTGCAGGCTGTTTGAAGGACCCCTGCACAGGGTGGGAATCTTGGCGGGGCCCGCCCTTGGATGCGGACACCGGCGCATCGATTCTCCGCCGCCCCTCCAACTCAGGTCACTGCCAGGCCGGGCGTGCCAGTTGAAGCTGAAGGTGCGAGGGAGAGAGCATTGGCCAGCGGCGCCGGGGGGCGCTTCGTCATTGTTGCGCCTCACCACACCCGTCGTTTCAGTGGCCAAGCTGCTGTCCTACCTGTCCTACCTACCGCTACGAAAACCATCCAACCACCCACACACCCATCGCGAAGGCAGCAACTTACAACTTTCGTGCGTCCCTGAATCCATCCGAACCGAAACCTGGCATCATTTCCCAACGGCTCAAATCGCAACAACACCTTGAAGAAAAATAAAGCAACCGGCTGTCGTTATCGACCTGTATTACCGAGAACAAGATGGACGGATCCGGCGGTGCCCCAAAGCCGAGCAGCAGCGTCAAGCTGGTCCTGCTCGGTGAAGCTGCCGTAGGAAAGGTGCGGCCACCACCATCCGAACCCAACATCAGAGCTTCTTACTAAACAGTATCGCAGTCATCGCTTGTCTTGCGCTTCGTCAACAACGATTTCCAGGAAAATAAGGAGCCCACCATCGGAGGTACGAATCGCTGCCTTTTGCCATCGCAGACAAGACCAGTCCGTTTGAGAGCGAAAAAGAGCTAACCTGTCCACTCCTTTCGCCCCCTTGCAGCCGCCTTCTTAACACAAAAGTGCAACCTTCCGACCCGGACAATCAAGTTCGAGATCTGGGATACCGCCGGTCAGGAGCGCTTCGCCTCGCTGGCGCCCATGTACTATCGCAACGCCCAGGCCGCCCTCGTCGTCTACGACCTCACGAAGCCCACGTCACTCGTCAAGGCCAAGCACTGGGTGGCGGAACTCCAACGACAGGCCTCGCCGGGCATCGTCATCGCCCTCGTCGGCAACAAGCTCGATCTGACAAACGACGCCGAGACCGGATCCGCCGGCGACAACGAGGAGGCCGACGGAGAGGACTCTGGCGACGCTAGAAAGGTTTCGACGGAGGAGGCCAAGACGTATGCCGAGGAGGAGAGCCTGCTCTTCTTCGAGACCAGTGCCAAGACGGGCCACAACGTCACCGAGGTCTTCACGGCCATCGCCAACGCCATCCCCGAGACGTCGTTGAAGAGCGCGCGGGGTCCGGGCGCATCGCATGCCGTGAGCCGCGGCGCAGAGGACCAGCAACGGGTCAACCTCACGGGCTCGAGGGATGCGGCGGCGAAGGAGGGGTGTGCCTGTTAAAGTTGTAGAATGGGGAAATTGCGCGTTTGTGTAACATCTCGAGAAAGGATGATTATCGTTTTTTGCAAAGGAGGGATTCCTTTTTTTGGGCCGTTTTTCCAACCTCCCCCTTCATCATTTCGGAGTCGATCAGTTTTTATGCGCTGCATTTCTGCTATAGGGTTTCATTTATGGGAGCGTCCATCCGGCAGTAAATGGGAAGTTCATCATGAGTCGAAATTCAGACACTGTCGCTTTGCACCACTTTACATGCCGACTCCTCCGTCGTGGTGTACAATGGTCCTACTTGTGCTGGCAAAGTTCGCAGAAGAAGACATTGGGAAGGATTGCGGATGGGCAGGGAGCTGATGCTTCGTAGTGCGTCATGTAGACGGAATCTCATACATTCAGGAAGATTTACGGCACCCTTTGGTCGCTTTCAATGCTCCAAGGTGTTGATGATAATGACCAGGGATTTGCATCACCCCATGCTGCCATTCCCAGAGTGCCGGATGCATAGGTGCAAACGGCCAGTGGGCGAGTAATGCACCGACCGATCGGGGCAGTGGGCAGACCGGCCTGCACAGCAGGCCTGGTGGCTGGATCAAGCAGGCAAGGTACCTGAGGGACCAAGGTGCTGTAAAACACTGTAAAACCAGCAGGCCGGGGAAGGTGAATGAGGGCACCTGGTTGGTCAGTCACCGCCCACGCGTCCCACTCTTTTTCTGACCCTTCCCGCGCCTCGTCCACCTCAAACTGCTCCGTCACTTCAGAATCTTTTTCACGACCACCTGCTTCTTTGCGCAAACAAGCTCAACAACAAGCAACCGTCCGTCATGACAGCGTCTCGCGCGACACGCTGAAACCGTCCCCATTCCTTCTTTCTTCATACTAATACCAGGTCAGCGGTGACGCGGCCATCTTTTACTATTGTACTTTCCCACACCCCTCCTTCGCCCATGTATCTCTCTTCTTGATATTCCTTTTCCTCCGCAACGACGACAGCATGGCTGTCCACCTCACCCCGGCCCAGGTCGAGC